CTCTAAAAGTTCTTTCATGCCTCTTTTACGTGAGATTATTTACCCCATTCTACTTCTGCCTTTTCCTTTGTCCCAGTACATTCCTCTCACCCCTTAATTTTATTTTTTTAGATATCATCCCTTCATGTTCAACTCACACCTGCGCCCTTTATATATATTCCTTCTAACTGTCCTAAAAATGAGAAAGTTCTTATCAGTTACAAGTATCACCTTCCCGTGTAGGAATGTAAACAATTTAACCTTATTAAGTTCCTTATGATTTCCCTTTCCTGATTACCTTTTTATGCTTCTTTTGAGTCTTATATCTGAAAGTCAAATTTTCTATTCAGTTCTGGTCTTTTCATCAGGAATACTTGAAAGCCTTCCATTTCATTGAATATCCATTTTTTCCCCTGAAGAATGATACTTAGTTTTGTTGGGTAGGTGATTCTTGGTTGTAATACTAATTGCCCTCCAGAATATCATATTCTAAGCCCTCTACTCCTTTAATGTGGAAGCTGCCAAATCTTGTGTTATACTGACTGTGATTCCATGACACTTGAATTGTTTTTTTCTGGCTGCTTGCAACATTTTCTCCTTGACCTGGAAGCTTTGGAATTTGTCTGTAATATTCCTGGGAGTTTTCATTTTGGGATCTCTCTCAGGAGATGAGCAGTTGATTCTTTCAGTTTTAATTGTATCCTCTGGTTCTAGAACATCAGGGCAGTTTTCCTTGATAATTTCTTTAAAGATGATATCTAGGCTCTTTTTTTCATTCTGGCTTTCAGATAGTCCAATAATTTTAAAATTGTCTCTCCTGGATCTATTTTCTAGGTCAGTTGTTTTTCCAAAGAGGTATTTCACATTTTCTTCTATTTTTTCATTCTTTTGATTTTGCTTTATTGTTTCTTGGAGTCTCAAAATCATTAGCTTCCTCTTGCCTAATTCTAATTTTTAAGGAATTATTTTCTTTAGTGAGCTTTTGTACCTTCTTTTCCATTTGGCCAATTCTACTTCTTAAGGAATTCTTTTTCTTCAGTGAATTTTTGTATGTCTTTTTCCATTTGGCCAATTCTACGTTTCAAGGCATTCTTCTCTTCCTTGGATTTTTGTACCTCTTCTAACATTTGACCTAATCAATTTTTTTTTTTGGGTGAGGCAATCAGGGTTAAGTGACTTGCCCAGGATCACACAGCTAGTAAGTGTCAAGTATCTGAGGTCAGATTTGGACTGAGGTCCTCCTGACTCCAAGGGTGGAGCTATAACCACTACACAACCCAGCTGCCCCCCTAATCTGTTTTTTTAAAGTATTATTTTCTTCAGTATTTTTCTATCCCTCCTTTACCAAGCTATTGACTCTTTTTGCATGATTTTCTTGCATCGCTCTCATTTCTCTTCTTTTTCCTCTACCTAGCTTACTTGATTTTTAAAATTCTTTTTGAGCTCTTCTATAGCCTGAGATCAATTCATACTTTTCTTTGAGGCTTCGGATGTAGGCATTTTGACTTTTTTTTTGTGTTCTGAGTGTGTGTTTTGATCTTCCTTGTCACCATAGTAACTCCCTATGGTAAGAATTTTTTTTTCCCTATTGTTTGTTCATTTTCCCAGCCTATTTCTTGACTTTTAACTTTTTGCTAAAGAGGGGCTCTACTCCCAGGGTGGAGTGCTCACTGTCTCAAGCCTCAGCGGTTTTGCATAGCTGTTTTCAGAACTAGTTCTGGGAGTCTGTAGGCCTTCAGTTCTTCCAAGATAGTATATTTTATTTCCCTCCCCCAATTATATGTATAAACAAATTTTAACAGTTTTTTTTAAAGTTTTGAGTTCCAAATTCTATTTCTCCTTCCCATCCTAATTCTTTAATGATGTGTTAAATCATTCTTACACCCCTGATACAACATGGTAATAGAGAATTTTTTGGATGTATTTCTGTAGTCCTTGCTAAAATGTTGTCATTAATATTTGTGACATTAGTCCATAATTTTTCTTCTCTGGTTTATTCCTCCTTGGTGTGAGTATTGAGACCATATTTGTATCATTAAAGAAGTTTGATAGATTGTCTTCTCTAATTGACTAATTCTTCTAGTATAGTTGATAATTATTCTTAAAATATTTGATAAAATCTACCTATAACTACATATAGTCTGAGTTTTTTTATTTGAACAGTTTCTTTATGACTTAATTTCCATTTCTAAAATTGATGCACATAAAATCTCTATTTAAAAAATAGTCAGTTTTTTTTTGTGGATAATTTTCTATAACCTCTAGTTTCTTATTTTTGCTGATGTAAAATTATATATAGTTACTTCTGATGGTTCTTCTTATTTCTTCTCCTTTAATTGTGAGTTCACCTTATTATTTTACTTTGGTAATTTGATTATCTTGCTTTATTTTTAAAAAATAAAATCAAATTGGCTTTCTGCTTTCTTAGTTTTTCTGAAAGGCCAGCTCTTTAAAACATTTATTAGTTGTATGGTCTTTTTCAATTCTATGTTCAATTTCAATTCAATTCAATTCAGTCTAACAATTTGTAAATCATCTGCGGAAGGAGCTGGAAATACAAAGAAAAAATGCAAACAGTCTCTCAAATAGCTTACATTCTATTGGGGGGGGGACGACAGCAGACAATTAAATATAAAATATATGCAAAGTAATTATATTTCTTTACCCAGTAATGATGTGAATATTCATTTGGAATATGACCCAAATTTGCTGGTATATTGCTTTTGTATTTAAAATGGAAAATTATTTTTGTGTATTTAAAATACTTTTTAAAGAAACTTAATTTTAACACTTAACTAGCTCTGTGATTTGTCCCTGGGCAAATCACTTAACCCCAACTGCCTCACCAAAAAACAAAAAACAAAAAAAGAAACTTAATTTTTAAGGAAGTGAACTTGATCTGAGCCTTGGGGAAGCTAGGAATTTTATGACCCTGATATAATGTGGCTTCTGTTGTACTGAAGATTTTCTATTTGTACTAGCTTACCTTATTATGTATGAGAACAATCTTCTATTCCACACCCTTCTTTCCCATCTCTCTTCTTTTTTCCCACCTCTATTATTATTTTTCAAGGATCTTCTTTGCAAGATTCTTATTTTTAGCAATATTAATTCCTTAAAAAGGCAGTGGAGCATTGGACAGGATACTTCACAATATGTACTGGGGCTCTGTCCTCAATCCTTTTCTTCCCCTCCCTTCCATCTTGAGGTCATGCTTCCTTCTCCTTCCTTTCTTTTCCTCATATATCCCCTTGTTCTTCATCTCTAAGAAGCCAGATGTGCCAGGGAACCAGACATATCCTTCCCTGGACTGACAGGCAGTTTTGAGTATTATGACCTGTTTGTGGGTTTCCTGATGTGTCCCTCTCTCTGTAACAGAATCTCTTATGGGATCCCTTCCACACTTTCTCATTTTCAAAGGGATATAATAAGGCTTTCCCCTAAACGTTGCCCTTCCTTGGACAGAACTCAACTTTTACTTCCCACTCTAGGAATACTCTCTCACACCCTACTTCCCTTCTCATCCCCTCAAAAAAAATCTAAATTCTTTCCCTATTCCCAATCTCAAGACTGTTGTCTCTCTGTATTCTGAAGCCCAGGTCATACAGCAATGTTTCTTATTGATCCTTGTATTTGCCTTCTACTCTCCCCACCCAAGGGAATTTCTTCTAAGTGTCCTTCCTTTAAGAATATTAATTTAGTAAAAAAAGTGAATGTAGCTTTTAATTAATTTCTTCCTTCTCTTCTCTGACATTTGACATCTTGGATTCTTTTCCCTTTTGATTTTTTTCTATGCCCTCCAGTCATGTGAAACTTCTCATGTGTGCTCACTTAAAAAAACAAATAACCAATATTATCTAGTCCAAGTTAAACCAAAGTTTTGATTTCATTGCTTGGTTTCTTCTTGGTATTTTTTAAGTTTTTTTATTAATATCTTTATTTTTTATCATCTAAACTTCCCCATATCCTTTTCCTACCATCCCCATTAAAAAAAAAAGTCTTTAAAGAAAAAAGGAGAAAAAAATCAGTGCAAGTGAACAAATAAGTTTCTGAAGGATGTATTTACTCTTTCTACCTTTTAGCACTTCTTTGCAAAATCTCTGTGCCCTCCAATACATGGTCAATTTTTTATAAAAGTTCCATACAGTGCCAAGAAATACATATATTCTTTAGCAGTGCCATTTAGAAGATGTCATGTGTTTAGCTCTAGTTTCTTCATCAATTTAATTCTATATTTTTTATTTTGTTTGTATTTTTCCAAAAGTGAGAGAGGGACAGCAAAATCTTCTGTAACTAATGACTTTTTGTATCTCCTTATAATTCAGTTAATTTTTACTTTATGAATTTAGGTGCTAGGGCATTGGGAGTCTGTTAGTTTTTAAGGCTGTACCTTGTTAGGTTTCTTAGTTTCTAGGTCCACAGAGACAACTGTAATTGCTTCATTTGTTGTGCATCATTGCATTTCCTCTTTTTGGAAGTAGGGTTTGAAAATTAGTAAGGAATGGAGAAAATGTTGTTTGTCATCTTGTTGGGTCATGTGACTGAATTGTTCAAATGCCCAAATTACCCCAGTAATTCTATTCTCTTTATTGACTTACTTCTGGGACCCATAGTCCAGACTGTGTCTACAAAAAAGTAAGATCTGTCCTTGGACACTGTGGGTGGATGACCTTATTTTGGCTTGCTGGTCCTAGCAGAGGCTATGCATCTTGGCAGCTTTGTCTCAGAAGGAACTGAGATACTTGAGAGAGCGCTGCAGGTGGGACTGGACATGGAGCAAGGTCTTGTCTAGTATAAGGAAGTGTTTGTATGTTGGGTTGGGGTGGTGCAGTAATGGGACTTTGGCTATGTTGGGTCTATTCAGGAGGGCAGAAGCAGGATCTTTGGCATATTGATGAAACCAACAATCTTAGAATATACCCAGAAGGCCATTAAATATGTTAAACACACAGTAATGCTTTTAAAAATGAATCTTAATTGTCCTAAAGATAAATCTTTAAAAGGACAGATCCATTCACAAATTTAAACTCTTAAAAAATTGTTTTATTGATTCTTTACCATACAAAATTTATTCAAATTACATCCATTTGAAGTGGTAAGATCACAGCTAGAGAACAGGTCATCCTGTAACAAATCTATTTACAAAACCCATCATAAAAGCTTTTTTTTTAACTTTTTTTTTTACATTATTTTACATGTTACCTTTTTAAAACTAACATACAACACAAAGCTCAACCAATTAGTATTGTTTTTGCCTATTCCTTCTTTGGGAGAAGGGTTTACTTTGTACAAAATGATATATCTTCTGCAAAAAAAAAAATCCACAAACTGACCATTCTATTTTATTCATTCTCCATTAATCTCCCTATACATTCCTCCTTCCTCATTCACGTGTTCATTTGGAACTCAAGTTTTCTTTTTCCACAGGGCTAAAGCTTTAAATACTGCAATTTTATTTACAGATCTACATCTTACAAAAAAAAAATAAAAACAAAAACAACAACAACAAACTAAACCAAACACTCTTAAAAAATTACAAACCAGCTAGAAAATATTCTGGCAGTGTTTACAAATTAATTTTATTATTATACAAAATGGCTGGATGACTAAAAAGTGAATAGACTACATTAGCAACTTAAATAAAACCTTCACTGTGCACATATTTGTACATATAAACACACACTTAATACTGTTTGACAGTTCATAATGTGTTGCCCTTTATACAATTTTATATTCTAAGGCTCACTCAGTCAGAATTTGCACACAAGTAACTTAACTTTTAGCCATTTCAGATGTGAGCTTGTTTTTATAGCAGCAACTCAAGGGTACCAGAAAACCTGCAATACAGAGTACTCAAAAGTAAATAATAAAAAATACTGTAGTACTAACCCACTTTGTGTGCCAGATAGGAGGATGATAAAGATAAAACAACTTGCAAACAAAAATACATGGGACACCTAATTCGTGTACATCAAATAAGCCCATAAATTGGAAAAAAATCTTACACACAAAGGAACTTTTAAGACTTATTAGGATTCCTCTCACTTTCAAAACAATAAATATGGTATTATATTACCAAAAGGATTAAAAAAATAAACAATCCAGTCAGGTGATACTCCGGTTTAAACTTTGGGAAAAGTCAGCTTTGCGCTGCTGGCAAAGAGAATTACACAAAGCTGGAAGCAGAGGCAGCTAACCAGATGAGATAAATATGGTACATGGAAAAAAGCTTGGCATAAATTGTTTCCTTTACAGGAAAAAAAAAAACCCCACAGTGCATTTCCAGTAGGCACTTAACACAAAGCTTCCCTCCCCATCCCCCCACCCCTTCCTTTCCCTCCCCTCTTCTCTATGTAGTACCACCACCAAACATTCTGTACCAGGTCCAGGGTGTGTGGGGGCAAGAACACATACTGTGCATCTTTGTTCTGCATCATTTTTCCCTTTTCAAATACACACCCACACATATGTACACAAGTATTTTAAGGTGTTGGTGTCACTTTTATGACTCCCCCCACCACTTTGCATATTATGGAATTCTGTCTATAGTCAACTCCAAGGTAAGGTTCTTTTCAAAATTTACCAAGGGATTTTTTTTTTGTTAAAGTGTTTATCAAGTGCCCATGTGCCTAAGCACTATGTCAGGCATACAAAATATCAACTTCACTGTTCATTCTGAGTTTCTTCCTAACTATAATTCTTCCCCCATACTCTGTCTGTTGCTCTAGAATAGATGATGGGAGAATTCTCAGCATTCAGGGAATGGAGTTTGAGGTACAAGACAAACTCCAACCTACAAGCTTGGCTATGAAGAACATGTTTCCATCTGGAGATGGGAAAGCATACTTGGATATTCACCCAAATGAGGCTAACACAAGCCCCCAAGCCCCCAAACTTGGACACCATTCCCTGAGAATAAATTGGGAGAATCCTACCACACCTTAACTAATACTGCCTTACTTGCCTTGACTCCCTTCAATCCATGATATTCCCTCACAAGAGGGAACAGGATTTGGGCCAGAGATATTGCTGGACCAAATACCTTTTGTGATTACTTACTAGCTAAAGTAAATATTGTTCAGCCTCCTGGGATGGGAACATCATTCTTCCTATAGAGGTCTCTTCCTGACCCCATCCCTAGGAGTGGTGTCCCTGAGTGTGACGCAAGAGAGCCCTTTCCTGTGGTCATTGGCGGACAAAAGACCCTTAAAGGAAGCAGTTCTTCTCAGCCTCTACTCAGAACTGCTGTATACATGAATCTGGCACTCCCTTTCGGCAGGTGGCCCAATGCATTAGTATCCAATACTGATTCACCCCAAGTCCTCCATTCCACAGAAAAAGGACCAATGGGAAACAAGGCTTATACAGCACTGGGATGACACAGGTTTAGAAATTTTACTCAGCAGCAGCAGTTCTTACAAGCTTTACCCCAAGTTGGAAGGAATTAGTAGAAACTGCTTCAAAGTAAACAATTAAATTGAAATGGTGATGGGCGCCCACAAGAAGGCTTAAATGCAAAAAACCAAAAAAAACAAAAAAACCCCAAACAAACAAACAAACAAAAAAACCAAAAAAAAAAACCAAACCCAAAACAAACACACACACAAAAAACCCCACCAAGAATTCCTAAGTGACCGTGTGCTACAAATAAACGTTACAAATACAAATAAAATGGAGATTTTTATGGGAGCACCTGAAAATCCACAATTGCTTGGAGTGGCAGAAATTGAATATATTTCATATACATTTGCAACATATTATATGGAACACTTCAAACCAAAGGCATAATAGGGCATTAGTATTTCTTAACCTCATACCAAACAAAAAGTACATAGCTTAAACCAAGTTAAGACCACAATTTAAATATTCCTAGGAAGAGCTGAAGAAATCCATTTTCATACATTTGCATGACTTCAAGTTTATGCTTCCCACAGTTCCATTCCATATTAGCAGACCCCAAAGACATGCATTCTACAAAGAAGGCACGGCTTGAAATGCTATTAAGGAAGATTGCTGTTTGCAAGTGGACCACGTGGTTCTGGCCCTTCTCCACCAGCCCGTCCATCAGGCACAGAGGCCACCTGGGAAGGGAAGGAGAGCAGGCAGGAGAGAGGGCAAGGTACAGCTACCTGATTGCACATGTTCCACCTGCTGTTTCATCCACGAGATTTTGGAGCCTAGGGCAAAAAGCAAGGCTTTCCCAAAGGAGCCTGCCACTGCGCGCTTATTCAATATGTAGAAAAAAACTTAGTAAAATGTCAGCTTTGTTGTGAAGTTGTAGTTTACTTCGTGATAATATTCTTGAAGGAAGAAGGTGGCAAGGGACAACACTGAAGGACAGATGTTCTAGTTCCATGATAAAAAAATATTGGTTTATATATAGAGAGAATTCACACAAAACAATCAACTGCACATAAAGTCCTCTACCAATGGAAGTTTTTCTAAATCATAAGCATCGAAGAGATCACTGATGCCTTCTTCTTCCCCAAGGCTGAGAAGGTAGTCTTCTTGGATCAAGGGAGGCAGTAAGTTCACAAATGGTCCTTCTAGGTTTGAAGGAATTTGGTCCTCAGTCTGCTGGAGAAGATTAGTTGGAGAAGCCAAGGGAGAAAGGTTTGCCATAGAAATGGAGCAATCAGCATGTCCTGAGTTGGTTGACGCCAAGTCTATGAAGTAAGATAGAAAGGAAAAGAGAGAAAAAAAAACCCAAGGAAAAATGAAGTTTGATCTTTGAAAGACGGGCTGTGTGCTTTATCCACTGTGCCACCCACCCAGCTGCCTCGATGAAATCATTCTTAGTTGGGACCATTTGCCATGACCTCCCCCTTTTCTATATCTCAGTCCTTCGACATAATCCTCCATTCTCTCCTCGTTCCAAACTCACAAAGGCCAACCTCTCTCTATATAAACTGGAGACTCCCTCTCTCACTCTTTGCAAGGGCTCATACTGTCTTGTAAGAGTCAATGATTAATGTGAGCATCTGTATCTCAAAAAACCAGCAAATGCTACAAATCAAGGCCTGACTTACTGTTTTGTCAATTATCTAAAGTTAAAGTGATGGAGAAAATATTAATAATGAAGATTAAACTTAAAAAATGTATTGCTTTTCAGAAAGCCAGTTTGTTACACATTTACTAGCACACTCTAGGTTGTGTTACCCTGAGGTTCTGTCCTGGGTCTTCTGTTTCTTTCAATAACCTCATAAATTCCTATGGATTTAATGATCACCTCTACGTAGATGACTTGCAGCTCTATCTATCTATCTATCTATCTATCTATCTATCTATCTGCCTGTCTGTCTACCTCAAGCTTTAACCTCTCTCCACCACGGACTACCGAGAAGACATTCTAAGCTTGATATCCCAATTCTCAAGGGACTCAACATGTATCAAACAGAACTCACTCCATTTTGCCCCAAAGCCACTTCTTTTTCTGACTTCTCTATTTCTGTTGAGAGTATCATCAGTTGCAGAGATTCACAACATCTGAGCCACCTCTAACTGCTCTCTCCTTCACGCCACATATCTGATCATCTGCTAAGCCTTTTTGATTTCACCTCCCCAATACCTTTTGTATGTCTCTTCTCTATTCATTCAATTCATCACCCAATTTCAGGCCCTAATCACCCCTCACCTGAACTACTACAACACTATCTTTATTTACCCTCCTTGACCGAAGTTACTCCCCTTTTGAATCCAACTTGTACACAGATGCCAATGTAATATTTCTAAAGTTACAGGTCATATCATGTTATTCCCCCTCCTCAATAAACTTCAGTAGCTACCTATTACTTCTAGGATTGAATACAGACTCTTCTGTCTGGCACTGAATGCATTTTATAACCCAGTCCCAACCAACCTTTCATTTTCACACATTACTTTCATTCATGTACTTTACAGTCCAGATATAAGTGAACTTTCTCATATAGCCAGTTCTCACTTAACATAAGTGGACTGTTCTGCAGACCCTCCTCTTACCCTCATGGTCCCAACCCCTTCCAGCTTTGTGGTCCATAGCCAGAACAGCTTCAGTGCCTGGGGTCCCCACAGCTGAAGCAGAGGACTCCTTGTGCGGGACCTGCACTGCAGAAGCTATGGCTGTTACCCCATCCCCAGCATTCCTCCCTCCACATGTCCCCACCCCCATCACCCCCCAGCCACCTGTCTGGAGCCAGAGCTAGTGGTGCCGCCTGCTGTGGAGTTGAATTTGTATAATTCTGAGTAAAGTGAGAAAAACAAAGTGTTATCTCCCCTGAAAGAACATAAGCTTCTTGAGGGCAGGAGATACTTCATTTGCATCTGCACCCCTAGAATGGAACATTACACTATGCCAGAACTTAGTAAATGCTTGTTGACAAGAGCAATCCTAATTTTAGTTCCAGGGGTGAAGAGTGGGGAAAGGAAGGGAATCCCTCATTACTTGCTGGAGAATTACTATACTGTACTTGAACTTTTCAGGGATGAAGTAGGAAGAGGCAGGCAGTATTCTTGACCATTCAGCTGTGACTAAGGCTGTCAAGAAATTAGCAACCACAGCCTATACAAACCTTTACACTGAGTTCATGTGTCTGTGCCAGTTGCACCACAGTTTTATGTCACAAATAAGGAGGTGTCACTATTTGTTACTATTGGCCCAGGGAGATAAGGAAGATATGTAAGATATGTGTAAGACTAAGGATAAGGAGCCAAGTAGATGAGGTCAAACTTTAACCCAGCACAGCTTACAGTTAGATATACCAGTTTTATGGGAGGGAGGAGGAAAAGTACAGGATATGTTCTTCTTAAAGATGATGTAGGTACATTTGTAATATATAAGAAAAACAAAAAAGGGAGGGTGTAGTGAAGAGGTTAAGAGTCAGAAGAAAAAAAGAATAATTTAGGAAAAAATAATTATTTTTATGAAGATTTTTACCTTTTGTACCCTTTTCATCTCTGCTGAAAAAAAAATTAAGTTCTCAAAAATAAATATCTTCCTGCACAATTTTTCCACTTCATTTCTCTTGGATCTTCACTGTCTAGCACTATATTGGGGACATGGTCAAATACAGCAGATAAGTTGCTCTTTTTTAAATAGGAGGAAGCTTTACCACCTACTTCAAAGGTGGTCAGTAGAAGAATTTGGGAGTACAGTATGGAGTTTTATCCCTTCTGTGCCCACATAAGGACAATTTAATTGATAACTCCTTGAATTGAATGATTTAGAATTAACTATATAAAAATAAATTTCAAAAAACAAAAAACCCCAACAAACAAAAAAACCAAAAGAAAGAGTATTTTTCTCTCAATGTTTCTTTTTCCTAAGCCTAGACTTATAGAACCCAAGTAGGATTCTTAATGCATTAATCTTCACATCAAGTTTCTAAATGATGCAAAACAAAGATTGTTACCTTTGGAACTGGATTTGGGAATATTCCCATTGTGGTCTTGGTTGTAGGATTTTACTGGACTGTGTGTTTCATTCTCTTCTGGACACAGGTAAACTTCAATGGGTCCTTGGTTACTTGATAAATGTATTTGTAGGCTCTACAAATATATAAAAATGTCTACAGTAAGAGGTGAAACTTCAGCAATTTCCCCTACTAAACTTCATTATGGTTTCATCACAGAAGCAGAGTAACTGCCAATAAGCATGTTCCTGAGGTCATAACATAACTGAGAGATATTTCACCTCCTTCAGGGTTTATCAAGATTTCAGGAAAGAAATAAAATATACTCTTTCACAGGCTTTTGAAAAAAGTACCACTAGTGAAGTTTTAGGAACTGTGTTTTTGAATTACCATCACTTATCTATTATATGATATTAAAAGGTCCATTTTTATTAGCATTACAATAAAAATATTCTTAATAGTATATACTTTAAAATAGGGATCAACTGTACGGTATGATCAAGGGATGGTATTTCCAAGTGGTAATAAAGAGAATGCAGCACACACTTTTATTTGTCATTAAGTTTTTTTAAAAAATAAATTTATCCCAAGAAATAGAAAAAAATAATAACATCCCTTCCTTAATTTAAGGGTTCGTAGTTCAAGGATAGATTTAGTTAATATATATGAAGAGAGAAAATACTCCTGTATTTTTTCAAATATTCAACTAAATCTACCCTTGAATTAAAAGCCCTTAAGGGAAGATAACATTTTTTTCTGTTTCTAATTTTAAAAAATGAACCAAAAAACTATTTCCTCTACTTCCCACTTGCACCCCCCCAAAAAATAAAAGAAAAACAAAGCCCTTGTAATAAATATGCAGTGTTGAGCAAAACAAATTGCTGCATTGACTATGTCCCAAAAAAAAAAAAATAGAAGACAGATTATTATTGGTTAACTCACAAAACCCTCAAGACAAATTCACACCTCCTACCGCAAGCCAGGAGAAATAGCAAGTATTCAGGAGAAAACGATGTACTGATTTTCCCATTTCGTGAGTTTAAGAAAATATTTCTAGCTCAAAGCTTTGCAACACCAGGAATTTTTAGTCTCGTCCTTACCTCTAAGGGATCAGGCACTTCAAGTCTTGTTTCTGGAGGGGCTTTCACAACTATAACAGTTTGGTCTTTAAGGCCACTAATTTTTCGGATATCTTGATATGTAACATAAGCTAATGTGATAAAGTGTTAAAGAAAAATTAGCATATAACTGGCAAAAGTAACCCACTGAAAGACAACAACAAATCTCCTAACCACATTGGCACAAAAAGTAAAATAGTTTACTTCAATTATATTGCTAAATTTCTCTTGGTTCTTTGATCGTCATCATGATTTGCTCCCATGTGGTTTTTTTTTCCCCCTCCATTCAGGACTGTGTTATGAACCACCTGTTATTTTTCCAAGGCAAAGACTTGCTGTGATCAAATCACCTTTCACTTACTCTTAGTGTGGACTGCTGGAAGTGGAAAGCATTGGTGAGATTATAAAAATCTCAAGGTGAGCAAAGATTAACCATTTTTCCTAGGGAAAGGGGAAAAAAATCCCTAAACCACCTTAATAACTAGGCAAAGCTGGCAGCTGGACCAGGACAGGTGTGAACAGCTAATTGGACCCCAGTGGGTTATCACTGTCTCTAGGCTTTACAAACGGGCTAAGAGAAATGCCACCAAAGTGGGAATCTGGTGGGAGGTGATATCTGGGGGTGCCAAGCCTTGAAGTCAAGAAAGCAAGGGAGTGGCTACAGGCCTAGACGCTAGCAGTATCACAACAAATGATGATGGTGTAGAATTTCATCTAAAGTAAATGCCAGCCCAGTTTTCCCTTGAGCTGCTCCTACACCTGCAGCCTCCCCTCCCTTGCTCCTCATACTCCCAAACTGTGCTTGCTGAAATTGTTCTCCAAAAGTAATCTTTAATGCCACCTCTTCCACAAAGGCTTCCCTGATTTCCCCAAGTAGAAAATGATCTTTTCCATCTCAGGCCCCATGTAACATTTTGCTTGCATCTCTTTAATACTTTTATCATGTATCAATTATTATTATAGATTACTTGTCTGTTTATGTTTTATCCCATGCTACTAGATGGTGGACTCCCTGGTGGCAGAGACCATGTCTTATTTGTTCTATCTAACACAATTGCACATAGTGGACCCTTTAACAAATTCTTTGTTGAACTGAACTGATAAGAGGCTACTGAGGTTGGGTAAGGCTGGGATTAATAGGCATCACTGGGAATTGTTTTGAATGATTCCAGGGTTGGTTTGATTACTAATATCTTAGGATGAGACTTCTTCAGTCTATGAACTCAATTTTGTATTCTGTAGGCTGTTCAACAGGTACTAAGCAGCTCCTCTGGAATCTGGTACAAAAAAATAGAGGAACTAGAACAATCCTTGTAGGGGCTACTCCATGATGGTCATTGCTGCCAATAAATTCAGCTCAGCTATTTTCTATTTCACTAATAATCAACCTTTCTTCTCAACAGACCACCTTGTATGGAGTGGACACAAAAAATGTTTAATTGAATTAGTGATGAACAGTTGATATGAAAAACAAAAAACACTACCAAAATCTTGTTCAAAATTACCCATCCTCCTGTTTGCTTTTTTTTGGGGAGCAGAATACAATCTCTGTCTCAAGAAAACTAAGAGGGGAAAAAAGCCTATTATCCATAGTTATACCAGTAATGCAAAGGCAACTTGGGAGTATTGTGAAAGCCACATAAATGCAGTGGAGGAAAGATGGTAGGAGAGAAAGAGGAATCTCTGCCCCAGCAGTTTTGCAGGAGTGCAGGAAACTTCAGGAAGGATGGTTTGGGGTTCAGTTGTTAGTGCCTTACCGTTTCTGTAATTGGTTCTTTCTTTACACTTGTCAGTTCTGATTAGCACTGAGAAAATCAAGGAGTGCCATGGTAGGCACATTTTTTTTAAATTGCCACATGGGATAAAAGTTTTTTAAAATAAAATTATAAGCATCCACAATTACTCAGTATGCTGTAAGAAAGGAAATTTCAATGCATTTGTCAACAAGTTGTACAAAACTGGCAACAGAATGAAGAACTGAAGTGAATTGTGCAAACATGTCATAAACATATAAACTTGAAAGGTCTTTCCCTCTGGCCTGTTCCTGAATTTGCTCCATGAAGGTCAGCAACCTGCACTGAGCCTTTTACATTTACAATAAAATGCTGAGAAGGCTGATGTAGACGACAATGCAACTGTAGCTATCACATGTCCTGAAAGGCTGTTCATCAGGTACTAAGCAACTCCTCTGGGATTTGGTACAAAAAAATAGAGGAACTAGAACAATCCTTGTAGGGGCTACTTAAATGCCAGCATGGGCTGATCATCACTGCCAACATATCCAGCTTAGCTATTCTCTATTTCACTAATAATCACCCTTTCTTCTCAACAGACCACCTTGTATGGAGTGGACACAATAAATGTTTAATTGAATTAGTGATGAACAGTTGATACAAAAAACAAAAAAACACTACCAAAATCTTGTCCAAAATTATTCTGTATCGAAAAAGTAGATGCTCTTCTAATATCAGTAAAAGGCGACTAAGATATATTTCCTTTCTTAGGCCGAGAAAGATTACAGTTCAATGTGACTATAACATATCATAGTAGATCATAATGCTTTTATTTCCCCACTGACAAAAGTTAAGTGTCAAACAGTCAGAAAGTTTAAGTTGAAATAAGTCTTGGGACAACTAAAGTCCCATCAATTTTGCTTTCTATTAATCAAGCATCAAAAATTTTTCCCCCCAATGAGTCACAAAAAAAATGTCTTGGCTATGTCTGGAAGCAATAATTTGCACTTTCATTAAGATGCAGAAACATGACAAATAAGTTTTCATGAGACATGAGTTGGGATTTCTCTCTATGACACTGTTGCCTTTTAAAAAGCAACCCTTGGATCAATGCCTACCATCTTTAATGGTGTGATAGTATCTTTTTTTCTGGTTTTTTTTTCAGCCCTTTTATTCCCCAATCACATTTAGGATTATGCTGTCCTAATGGCTACAACACCTAGCAAAGAGTGAAACACATTAAAGTTAAATCTAATGCAAAGCTGTCATCAAAATTAATACTGTCACATTAAGTACTTAATAATAACACAACTCTATACTATAAAAAGTTAGTGAAGTAGCATGTCCAACTACTTGCATGTATACAGGTTGTTTATTATGCCTAATCTGTTACAGGGATCAAGAAAACATTTTTACATGTTTTTCTTATCTTCCAAATCAGGTTAATTACTGAACAAAAACACACACACACACACACACACACACACACACACACACACACACACACACACAGAGTTACTTCTGCATTAAACTAGAAGAATCCTTCAGCATAATGCAGAGTCCTTTAAATCTGGAGACTGTCTTACTGGAACTCTAGAATGGACATAACCCAACCCACTGAGCTGCAGGAAAGGATATTTTTGATTTTCTGAATCTTCTGTTAACAGCTTAAGGTCCAGGGTGCAGCTTTGAATCAGGTCATCAAGCTTCTTCTCTTCCTGACTGAGCTCCGTCACTTCCTTTGACAAACCTTGACACTGAGCCAGCATGCCCCCATCATCAGAGAGACTGCAGCCCCTGGAAATTAAGAGAGATTATTTTGCATAACTATTCATAAAACTTCAGGAGACTGGGAGGGTGGTGGTGGTGGGGAGATTGGGGGTGGAATAGAAGCGGTAATGGTTCATTTTATAGGCATCCCTGACAAGCAGAGTACAAAGAAAGCTTACACTTTGTAAGCCAAATTTTAAAAAGAATATTTATACAATTTTTTTTACATAAAAGCAGTCCTACAGTTTTCACTGCTGAATCACAACAGATCATCATCATTATTTTTTTAAGAATATTTTTCCTTCAGAAGAAGGCCTGAATTAAAAAGAAAACAGGACAAAACCATGTGACTTAAATAAACACTCATAACAGAAACAGAAAGCAAGAGATAATTTGAGCTCGAAGTAGACAAAAAAAAACTCCAAGCAAAAACTGGATGGTTTTGACTCTAAGTTATATTCTACAAAGAGTGGTCTACCAAGACAATCAGTGAAGCTTTGTCACCAGTAATTAATAAGAAAAAGAAGGGTGAGGGTAACAGATACTGAGATCTAACACCCAATAGGTCTCTCTCTGTGTGTCTGTGTTTACCCCCTCCAGCCAAACAGACAAAAATGTTCCACTGCTCCAACTTCTTTCAAGCACCACAAAGAGGTCCAGCACATCACCTTTGAAGCATTATCTTATAAAGCCACGAAGTAAAAAATTAATTCCTCCCTCCTTGTGCTTAAAATGATTTAATGCTTTTCTCCTTTCTGTTCAGGTATTCTATCAATAATTTACAAAGGTTACTATCATCTTTTAAGTCATGATATAACCCTGTCAAATGGGCACATAGGTCAAGCACTGTCATACCTTGAATTTTACAGATAACAAAACTGAGGGATAAGAATCGAGCATTCTGGCCAAAATCACAGACAATCAAGAAAGGCAAAGACCCAAACTAAGCCACAGAGTCTCACTGAATGATGACATAGGCTTGGTTAATTTGAGGTGTATGTGGTTGACGCAAGCCACAATTTATTTCCTACTTCTATTTTTAGAAGATCCAAAGGACAAATATGTGTATCTATCTCATGGATCACGTATGCTAGTCACCTGTCATTCAAAAATAAATTCTGGTTGGTATTTAAGACAGCACTGTTTAGGTCAAAGATTTTCCCACTCTAGGCTAATCAAACAGAAGTTCTTCTATCTTTGATATTATTCAAATAAAAAGCCCATTTTTTTATCTTTTAAGATTATTTGGGTTAAGGAACTAAGTAGATGAAGGGAGACAATGAATCAGGGGAATGGTACGTATGGGAGTAGAGGGAAAGAAATGGAATATGATATGAATGGGGAAGTTAGATCTGAAGAGCTATTCCCCATAGGGACAGGGACTGATACTCACATCCACTGTACGTTGTTTTTAGATTTCTTCTTAATGAGGTGGATGCCTTCCAGCACATTGGTGATATCATAAATCCTCCTCTTTTGCACCTTAAGCACTTCGGCTGCCTTGTTCAAATCCAAGACCCCATCTGGGGATTGGCTCAACAGCTGAATGAACTTCTTGGTGAGCAGACCAAGTGACGTATCATACCGTGTTTTTTCTGAGGGAGATTTTGGAGCTTGAAGAAAAACAAAAACCGAACGGGTAGGGGATGGGGGTGAAGGTAATGAACTGAAGGGTTCCTCTGCAATGAAGCAAGCCTTCCTTCCCATTCCAGCACATGAGTTAGCATCCAAAGCACAGTATTTTTTTTTGCAAGTTACACATAATAAAGTTTTGGAATAAAAAAGGTAGGGTAGCAGAAAGTTTCTAAAGGGGATTAAAGCACCTTACATTCAGCTGTGTATGTTCTGAAGCTTCACCATTTTTTTATATATATATATATATATATATATATATATATATACACATATGAGAGGAAACTGAAGGTGGAGGGAGTCTAAGTGACTTACTTAAGGTCTCATAGGTAAATATGCATCAGAAGTGGGATCTGAACCCAAGTCCTTACTGGAGAGACAGAGAAGGCTCTTTCTATTCAACCAGACAGGCCAACTTGGCTTCTACTGTCAAATGACTTACCTGAGTCCCTTCCCTAGTCTACACAATTTTTCTTTCTCCCATTTAAGTGACTGTAATGGTGACTATGGGAGGAAATTCAGCATTAGAAGGGAACTTAGTCCAACAGAAGCTTACAAAGGAGGAAACTGAGGCCCAGACAACTTAAGTGACTTTGCCCACAATCACACAGGTAGTAGTAACTACTGTAACTTTACTGTTCTTAATCAATTCTAATGCTACCTAGCTACAGAATCAATGTGTGGGGAGCTGCTCATCTTGATCTGGTTAGTTTCAACACCAATTATATAAAATTAAATTTGATTGCAGAACAGTGCCAAACATATTTTATAATTTAGGTAGAAAATGTAACTACACTGTAGTAAAGATCTCGCAATGACAGTGTATCCATGCACAGACATATACTCAGCAGGTTTCATTTGGAAAATTGCGGGCACTTGGAGGGGTGGGAGTAGGGTAGAGGACAGAAATAGAAAGGTTAAAAAGAATGAAATATGTGCCAAAATTATTCCAAATTTTGCACTCTTTCAGCCACATGCTGTGAAAATTGGGAGTCCTACACCAAATAGAATAATTAATATTTCCTTACTTTTTGGACTATCTGGACTTCTTACTGCGGCTCTTCCTTTGCCTTTGGGGGTTTTGAGACCATCTGAGAGAAACTGATGACCACTTTCTCCTAGTTCCAGCCTTCGCTTTGCCTATTAGAAAGTACAAACATATCCATTACTGATTACATCTAAAAAAGTGAAGTAATAAATGACAAAGGTCTCCTAGTTTCACAAAATGACTATGGAGGGATTGGCAGGGGTACAGTGGTGGTATCAAACATTAGAATTAAGAGAAATTACAGAGACTCAAACTTAGGCTACAACTGTAGAAACAATGAATAACAAATACTTCCCACCATCAGACTAGAATCCCAACATTAATTCTTATTCAATTTAACAATTATTTCTGGAGTGACAATTATGTGTCCAGTACTGTGCTAGATGTTGGCAGTGACATAATTTAATTATAATGCTGACAATTTTCATAATGACCTGCCAGTATAGAACATGCTCAATTAGACAATCACATAAAGACATCCAGCACTCATATTCAACTGAGTTCTTAGACTTCTGAGCACCACCAATGTTTTATCCAAGATAATGTCCAATATCTAATATTGGATCTGTGTTGAGGAGGACACACAGGGCATCAATTAATAGTAGAAATATCTCAATCTGGCTTCAAATCTTACCAAAATTTTACCATAGCCCATAAAATGTGGGATTTAAATTTTTTTAAATTCAATTCAACAAATGTTAAGCACCTATGATTTAAGTATACTATGCTGCAATGAAGGACATACAAGTTGCTTTTCGTTTTTCAAAAGCAGTTTTTGTAGCAGGTTTTCTCCTGTAACCAAGATCAGCATCATTTGTTACTTTTATCATCCCTATTCAAACACAGGAAAACAGGGTAGAATTTTTGTATCATGTTTGGAAAGCAAATGAAACACCTCAACTCTTGGCATCTCTATTACCACAAACCCATTTTAAACAAGCTTTCAAGGACAGGAACCTTGTTTCCTGAATATCTTTTTCCACTGACAATGCTGGCAAATTCTGAATACTAACATCTGTCAATTTCATCAACAGAAAAGACGAATTTATGTAAGAGTTTGACATACATCTTACAAATAGACAACAAGCTTAAGTAGCTGTATGAGAACATTTTCTCAATAATGCTTATTTTTATATTTTTGTTTATTGGAAACAAAAATTTCCTGTTCATCTATACAAAAAGTCAATTGCGAAATATTTATATAACCTTGAATATTTACAATATTTAATATTTCATGTTATATTTACAACCAAATAACAAAAATAACAATTGTTTATTAGAATGAAATATTTATGCTTTATATCTTCTGCAAAGTTAATGTATCCTTTGCAAAGCAGCATACTAACTGGATGTGGGAACTGGTTGGAAAGAATATACTACAGGTCACCCTTCCTTTTACTCCTTCCTCCTCCCCCGAATAGGAAGGAAGTAGAGAAAAGACTCAAATGAAAGCTGCTTTCCATTTTCTTTTTTCCTACTTGGCTACAAATTTTATTTCCTCAGATACTATGCATTATTGGATAAAATGTAAATGTTTAATTGGGAACCTCTAGTTTTTGTGTACACACACACACACACACACACACACACACACACTAAATATAAATATGAATTTTCTCATTTTTGAATTGGCATAATGATACAATAGTACCTTTAATGCTATGTTCCAATAATGATTCTTATTTACAGACTAATTTATGTTTACAAACAGTTTGACATACATTTTCTCATTTGATTCTTAAGTAACCATACATTATTATCCCCATTTTACAAACAAGGAAACTGAGACAGATTCAATGAGTTGCTAATAATTGCTAGGAACTGGATTCAGGTCTTCTGATTTAAAATTTGGTGGTTTCTGTGCAAAAACAAACAAATCTTAAAATGCTATTTAAATGCTAGTTCCTGTAATTCCTGTTAATTATTATAATACACCATAGTTCCAAGCTAGGTATTTAAAATGTAACATTAGATTAAGCAGGCCCATAATGTCTTGTCATACATATGGATTAAGAGAAACAGAATTAAATGACCTTAGAGATTGTCTAGTAGTCCAACCTTTCATTTTACACAAAAAGAAAACAGACCCAGAGAAGTGAGTTGCCCAGGTTTTTTTTTTAAGTCAACATTTTCAGGTTTAAAACCAAACAAAAAACACATAAATTCAATGGTGCCTTTAACAAAACTCCTCTCATGTTAACTTTATCTATATTTTAGAGACAGCTAAAATAGGGCACAAAAAAAAGCATAAATCAAATGTAAATTCAGACAGTCAGCAGTAGCCAAGACCAGAATTAGGTTCCTGATCCACTATATTAAAATCCTAGAATCAGAGTTCAGTTGAAATGTGCATTTTGGAGCCAAAGTTGGTGAAAAGCACTGTAGAATTTCAACCTCAGAGAGTTGTGCCCAATTGGATCTAAGAAAGAACTATCAACTTAATATCTTAACAGACAAGCATGAAATAGGGCCAGAGAATGGAGCAGGTACTACATAAAGGGGAAAACCAAAAAACAAGTTTAACAGGTGCCAGCCAAGACAAGCAAAGAGGCATCTTCCAGGTGCGTGGGTGAGCATATAGAGACAAAGCTGGAGTAGAGAAAATTATATAGTGGGGAAAAAAGGCATATTCACAGCTAGGTAGGAGAAAATGAACTGTGCTACAATAAAACACTTTAGCAGAAGGAGGGAAAGGCCACTTCTTGCTTTTACCTTAACTAGAGCAGGGTGGCTTTCTGATAAACTACAAACCCTAACAAGTTCTGGTGACTCTAGTTAAGGGAAGGACTAGGAAAGGAGATAGGGCAACCTAGAGGAGGCAAAATAAGGAAAAGAAAAAAGGGTACAGGTGAGACTTAATTTGAAAGCAAAAGAAGCAATAATGCAAAATGAATGGGGAATAATTATTTCTTTTTAAAATTGTGAGCTTAATTACAGATGTCAAAAATGTACACTTCAACATAAAAAGAAAAACAAAAGGGGAAGACCAACTATAAATAAAAAAAGGTGTATACAGAACATTGTAACTAATCACTGCTCTTATTCTGGGTATATGGACCTTTATTCATTGTTTGGGCTGACTGAGCAGCTCACTCTAACATTTCTTGGAGGCAGAGTTAGAGAGGGTGGGAGATAGAACACTGGGCCTGGAGTCAAGAAGTCTTGAGTCAAATCCAGTCTCACACATTAGCTGTGTGACCCTGGGCAAGTCCCTATTTGCCTCAGTTCCTAATCTATAAAGTGAGCTGGAGAAGGAAATGGCAAACCACTCTAGTCTCTTTGTCAAGAAAACTCCCAAAGGGGTCAGGGGGAGTCAGACACAACTGAAAAAATGACTAAAATATGCCCCTGACAACAGTATTTCCATATACATGTTAGCAGTTTTCCTAAGTTCTTTCTCTGTCCCTTCAAACTTTCACACTGTTCAAGTATCAGCCTATATAAACTTTTGTATATTTTTTCTTCTAAACTTCTCAATTAACAAGCTTTTATTATCTTTCCTTCCCACCTCCATACACTTCCCCATTGAAAAAAAAGAAAAAACTTTTGCAACAAATATGGATAGTCAAATAAAACAATCCTCCACGTCCCAAAGTGTGACTTGTCCTGCACTCTAAATCCATGACTTTCTGTATGATTGGGGGCAGAATGCTTCACCATCTATCCTGTGGGACTGTGGCTGGTTATTTTGTTGCTTCAAATTTGTTTGTCCTTACAATATTGTTGTTATTGTTTAATTGCTCTTAGGTTTACTCTGCCATCAGTTCATACAAGTCTTCTTTCATCATTCTATACAGAAGTGAAATAATATTCCATTATATCAATATACTGTAATTGGTTCAGCCACCTCCCAATGGATAGACATCCCTGTAAGTTTCCACTATTTCCCTTAATTATTAGTATTTTGGAGCATTTTTTTTATATGGCCGTTACCATAGACTTCTTTTTTGAAAACAGCCTCTTCATATCCTTGGACCATTTATCAAGTGGAGAATATAAGCCTTATAAGAATATTTATGTCAAAGTTCATTTTCTGTCCTTCTTATAACCAAACTGCTAACAGCCTGAAAACAGTTTGTTCAGTTTTTAATAAACTAAAGTTCTTTTCCTGCCCTTTCCATACATCAAGTTCTTCATCTCTTGCTTCTCTATGAAAGAAGCAATACCTTACATATTTTATCACTTGGTTTAATTCCTTTTTTTACACAGTTAATTCCTTTGTCTTCATAAACACCAAACAGCAATTTAAAGTACATTAAGTGTGAAATTGAACTTTTGTAACAGTGTTTTCCTCCTACTACCTGTAAAGCTTGTTTAACATATTTGTGTGTGTGTATATTGTGTGTGTATACACACACACACACACGCATATATCATTCAAATTTAAAATGGTAGTTCCAACACTGCCCTGTTTTTCTTTCTGAACTTCCTTCTGCTTCTTTATTTTTAAAATATTTGATTGCCAATTTTCTCTTCTGAGTCTTCCTTCAAAAACAAAAACAAACTAACATTATTATTACTCTTGCAACATGCTCAATAAAAAAGGCATAACAAGTAAGTATAGTCATGAAAAACATCTTCACAAATTGGTTAAAAAGGAATATTTCTTAATGTCCTGGTACCCATTTATGTCTGGGAGAGAAGAGATATCAAGGTGAGAAACCTTGTTAGAAACCAAACTTAAAAAATAACAGAATGAAAACAAGTAAGCTAAGCTGGTGAATAAAATTCTTGATTAACAGAAGTCAAAGATTAAGAAAAGTGAACATTATATGCCTGCTGACTGATTCTGACCTCTACTTGGGGACAAGGAATCAATTATCTTTGCAGACAGTACCAAAGAGTTCTGTTTCTTCTCCTCCTTCCCAATAAGGATTCCTTTGCTTTCACTTAGCTCACAGCAGCCTGCTCAGATGGTCTGCACACATGCATGTGCACACGCGCAGACAGACAGACACACACACACACACACAATCTTGCCTGTGCCCCAAATGCAAAGGCTCCTAGAACCCCAATCTGGCATGGAAGTTTTGACCCTCTCCATTTCTGACTTGGGCCCCAAAGCTAAAAATTTCAAAGCACTGTCACTTTG